CAAGGGGAGAAGGATGGCCTTCTGGGTGCACCTGCCGGTGACGTCAGAAAAGGGACTTCTTGTTTCGAGCTGCATGCAGCCCCGGGGGTCACCACTACTGTTTCATCCACGGTGTCCAGCTTCTTCTTCTTCTTCTTCTTCTTCTTCTTCTTCTTCTTTTTCTTCCTCTCTTCCTTTCTTTTCTCCCTTTAGCGGAGAGTGTTACACGCGAGAGGACCGCGAGAAGACCACTCATCTCCCCTTTCCTCGGCCATTATTTATATGCTAATGAAAAAGCCGTGAAAAGGCGCGATATCGGCCCACCTTGGGCCCCAAGATCATCCTCGAGATGAGAGAGCAGGATGTTGATACTGGACTGGGATTACGTAACACAGCCGGATCCTTACGGCTACCGTGATAATGAACAGAGTTGGTGGAATAGAAGAAGAGAAGGGAACGAGGGGAAATAGATGTTTCCAAGTATTTTTATGGATATTGATTTGAAGGCGGTGAGTTATAGAAGGAATTTGGCACAAGTGAAGGTTACGTATCTTTGTCCTTGAATCGATTTCTGCCCGGTAAAATTAAAAGTCGAGTTAAGTTAGAAGAGGAATTTGGTGGAAAAATTAACGTTTTGGAATATTTTTGGGGGGAAGTTATAATAATTTGAAAAAAATTAAATCGAGAGGAAGGAATTTGGTTAAGTTGAACAATGATACTCGTCGAAAAATTTACATGTTCAAACAATGATAATTGTTAAAACTATCCAACTATCCCTCAAACCTTTAAATTCACACGCTGACAAGCAGCTCTAAGGAAAAATTAGATCGGCTAATAAAGCAGAAAAACCCGTCTTCAACCCGAAGCGACAGAGCAATCAGAGAAACGAATTGAACTAATCTCTCCGCCATTCCTGCCCTTAAGCTAGCAGCCGACGATGCCTCCACCTTATTATTTAAAATGTCCGCGAAAACGTGCGTGGATAGATAGAATCGGTATTCCGTTCTGCGGATGGCGTTTTAATCAAGATCGTGTCACTTCGCTCGTCTAATGCCACCAGCTACGTCAGAAATCAACGTTCTATCTGATCCTGCCACGGGTATTTGCATAATCTAATATCTCTCGGCCGATTGGAACCATCTTAGAATGGAACAAAATTCGTCACGTCGAGTTCCGTCGCTTCCTTTTTTTTTTTTTTTTTGAAAAAAAATTATCCTTGACACTTTGCTTCGCGAAACGAGACACGGATCGTCGCAAAAAGTGACGATTAAACGAAAAAAAATAGACAAAGGATAGTTATTATTTTTTTTCAAAGAGTATGATATAAAATTTTATATTTTATTCGATATGAATTGAAAGAATATATCAATAACGTGTTATTAATAATTAATTTGATGATTAATTTACCAAGTGCTCGAGTATTTCTTTAGATAAATAGTTCGATGATATGTAAAAATATATTCGACAAGAAATTAAAAATCGGCGAAACGATTAATAAAACCAATATCAAACGGGATAAATGAATATATCATACAAATAATTCGATAAAAAACAAATATTCTTTATCCGTTTATGTCAACTGAAATTTCCATTAATTCCTTAAAATTCACATTATCGAAACCAGTTCGACATCAAATTCCCTTTTTTTTTTCTTTCTACAACACAGGAAACACAAAAACATGTATGCACAGAATCTTGCACACGAGCAATTAGATTGACGATTTTAAATCAGAGTGAAAGGGGGTGGCCTCGAATCGATTAGAATTCGTATTAGGAACCGGTTATAAACTCACATCCTGAGGAATAACGAGGACGAAGACTCGATCTTTTTTTTTTTCTTTTTTCACTTTTTCAAGGACACGAAGTCGTCAGATGGATGCAGGTTGACGTCTAGCATTTTAAATTCTCAATCGTAAATGAAACGAAGAGAGGATATATATCTGTCGAGACAGGTTTCCGTTTATGCGGAAAAATTAGCCGTTTCCTCAATTTTCTTAAATGGAAAAAAAATTTGAAAATTAAGGGAAACGGGTTAGGGCCATTAGACCGGATCTACGTTTCGAAACGTTGTTGCAAGATGTTGGATAGATAATATATAGTTAATGAGGAGGACAGTTTCTGGGGATTAAGTGTAATATTCGATTATATTAAAGTAAAATTAATAATATAACAAACTGTGCTATAATGAGATATTAATAAACAATTTATAGGGTTTTTTTTTTGGGAATTTATTTTGATATAAATGGATCTATTTATAGATAATAAATAGATTACTATTTGTAAATCGAATTATAATATTATATTATAATTATAAAGGAAATTAAATTTTTTATAATTGATAAATAATAAATAATATTTAAATTCTGAATTTAAAAATTATTTAGCAACGAGAACAAACTATAAATTAATCTATAGCACATAATTAATTAGTTTGCAATAATCTTTAATACATTTTATTGTATCTATATATTTTTATTTATAATTTTTACCATATACTCCTGCACATTTAAAAACTTAATTTTAATAAGAATCAATGTAATCTTAAACAAAATCTACATAATAATAAACAACTACAATTCACGTAATCACTAATTAAAAATACAATACATGCAATAATAAATTAATAAAATATAAAAAGAATATTATAATACTCGGAATTCATGCGATTTTCGAACAAATCAGAGACAAAATATCTTGAAATTACACGAAATACGTAATTTAAAAACTTACTTAACTGCGATTGCTTTCCTCACTTTACATATACAAGCATGTACAAAAATTTATCGAGACGATGTTTGTATAAACGAACAAAACAACAAACTTACTTCGAGAAACGCAGCGGAGAAAAGGATCACCCAGTGTCTTCATAAAAGTAAAATCATTTCCTGCCGCAGGTATGGTATTCTCCCCGTAGATTTGACGAGCACGCTTGCCCCACCTGCCTTGGAATGTGGCTCGAAAGCGCAAAGTGAAAACAAATACCCTCGATGTACCTGTCCTTAGGACGAGGGCAGACGGTAGGTACCCCACGAAGCGGCGGTGGGCCCTTTAGGGAATTACCACGACGACCTTCGAGAACCCCTCGACTAGTTCCTTCGAGAGGGAGAATCGTTTGGCATGTACCGTAATGCCAGATTTTCAAAATACGTACGACAATAATTAAGAAGCCTTTTGATTATGAAAATAATCCCTAACGTTTCAGAATTATTAATTTATTTATAACTTGTAACAATATAATTAATTATTTTATTAATTCTATGCAACGTTTAATTGAATCAATAATTGAATCTTCAAGAAAAGAATTCTAAAGAAAAAAAAGCTCGAAACAATTCCCCAACACATCTACATTATTAGTCCTATAATAGCTTTTCAAAATGATTCTTAAAAAAGTTAATTGCAATTGACAACAATCGATACTGTTTTCAAAATGAAAGTAGATTGAAAACAGGTTGATCAGGAAAAAAATCCACCTGATCCCAGACCCAGGGAACAGGTCTTCCAAAAAACTCCCCTCCATAAAAACTTGTTAATTCCACGTATACAGAGGGGAGAAGCGATGAAATAGGTAATAAGGATCGCGCCTTAAAAAAAGAAACTTTCCTTGGAATAAAAAAAATAAGCAAAAAAAGAAACTCACTTTTTTTTTTTACTCTCACAACACACGTACAGTCTCGTGCGCGAGGGTGTACGATTCCCCGCAGGGACGCGGACAGGGCTCCTCGAGGAGGAGGGGGAAAAAAATCGGATCCAAGGCGTAGTTAACGGTTCTGAGAGGTGGCACATCTCGACGACCCTAAATCTCTCGAGCGTACTGGGGTAATGGAGGAAGCTGGCTAACATTATTGCCGCGCGTTAATCACTATAACTTACAGCCCCCTAAGCCAACTTGTTGATTTAAAGTGGTCGGAGGGCCACGACCGGCTTCCTCCTTCTTCGGATCGAATATTGCGCTTAATTGGACAAATTAATCCGTCCACAAGAAAGGATATAAATGTTCGTGTAAAAATGAAATACCTGTGCATATATCGTAGAAAATTGATAATTTTTTGGGGGTGATTTAGCGGGGATGCTCTTTCTCTTAGCGAGAATACTTGGTTATAAAACGTTATTGAAACGTTATATGCTTGGGATATAAGTTATAAGTGGATAATTTTAAGATGTTGAGAGGAAATTTAAAATAAAAGAAGAAACGATTTATGAATATAGCGTGTTAAGATTTATGATAATTAGATGTTGGAAAGTAAAGGTTCGAAATTTTAAAGATAAAAGTCAATTTTTTGGAAATAAAAAATTTTTTCGACATAAAAAATCGAATAAGTAAGAAAATAATTTAAAAATCGAATCATCTTTCTAATCGTCTATCTAAAAGCATACACCACTCTATGAATAGACTTATCCTTATCACCTTATCATCCCTTTCTTTTTCCTTTAACAACATTCTATGGATCAACCAAAAAATTTCTTTATATTTCCCTCGAATTGCAAATTAAAATTTCGAAAAGTGTCATTTAAAATTCGATGCCCCGTTAAACAAAATTGTCAAAACGAATAGTTTTCATCGATCCCAGGAAACATCTCCCCCAGAGGACGTTCGAGCTCTCCTCTTCGACCTGTCCTTCCAACAGGTCTCCCTTCGAGACCGGGCGAAAAAAATATCCACCCTTTTGATCGCGTTCATCACGTTTCAAAAAGGGGTTCGAAAAGAAGAACCCTGGCGGTTTTCTATCTAAAGAAACCGGAGAGGAAGGATCCACCGTGCACGAGGGGGTGGCCGCGGGGGTGAAGAGGCCAAGAGCGCAC